CTAAATATCAATTGAAAAACAAAAATTGTACGTCTTAATATGGTGTTCTCGACCGATGCAATCAAGAAAGTAATTAGACTTACCCGACTTCACTTTTTAGAAATTCAAGATGCCTCCATGGCTGTCCACATGGACCAGTATCTGACGTTGCAGAAACGACGATACCAACAGAGGCCATTCGTGCGCCTCTGTCTATCGATTGGTCGAACAATGGAAGGTTTTTAAACGCTGCGATACCATTGTAATGGTTTCTCGAAAAATATCTACGAATCATAAGAAAGAATAAGTATCTTCCCATTGTGATCAATGTCTTACTAACATCTGTAAACTTCTATTTACATTACATCCTGACTGATAGTGTGTAAGCCACTAGGCATGGCTTGAAATTCAACTCCTCGCAAGTCGAGTTCTATACAAGTTGAATCCAATTCAGTCGTGTTCGCGCAATTCTGCTACAAATTAGTCTCCCTCATATTTTCCCGTACCAGCAACATTCTTCAATATTTTGGTCCGCGTGCGCACTTGCCTTCAGGAAATTGCCACTCTATAATATTTCCCTGTCTGACATCAAATCTCACAACGAATATTCCAACGACATTCTTGACAAATTCCTGGTCGCCAGATCCAGCCAGCGCAGAGGAGAAGATATCATTACGTCTGGTCACAGTTGTATTTGTTTCAACTAGTGGGTTATCCTTGGTGCTATTGGGAATTAGTGTTTAAGGCATCTTACATAAATGTCTGAAATGTCTGTTTTGTCGAAAGCAGTTTTTATACGTGAGCGAAACGACATACAGGCTAACCGTGGTAGTGGCGCCGAGAAAAATGTCTTCCTCGTCGATGACCATGATTTCTCTGGCGAAAGTATATGTTCAACAGTCAAGATGTTTCGCAGTGTTGGTTTTTTTCAGAGAGGGGTAACACCATATTTTTTGAGCAAATAAACGCAGAAAGATTTATTAAATAAATTTCTATAAGGGGTATTGAACAATTAAACAGTAAGCTTTGCTCTTTCAATAAATTTGGTAAGCTTTATCCGCTACAAGCAATTAAAATACGAAAGATGAAACCCACTTTACGTAATTGATGGGTTCTCATTTATATCACTTCATACTTTTAGCATAACCCTCCATCATTATCTTCTATGTAATTACTTCCACTTCCTGCCTTCTCAGCGGGAAAAACCTGCCCGTTAGGGGATCGATCGCCAGAGCTGAATAACGGCGATCCTTCCATGTCAGACGTATAATATGACGGCAAATAGTCCTTGCTTTGCTCATTCGGATAACCATTACCCGGTTTATCATATTTCTGTGTTGGTGGCTGAACTGGTTTTGCTGTGGGCAATGGATTCGATTTTTTTACTCCACCAGGCACCACCAAATTTCTTGCAAGCTTTGCAATTTCATTATCTAGATAGCTTACGGTACGTCTTTTCACCGTCTCCTCTAGTAAATCCTGATCACCTTGTTCGAATGCTGTAATGAGTGAATGCGCAATAGCTGCTTCTTCGGATTGAACAAAATCATAGCTGAATTGTAATAGATATAGTTAGTGTTATCGAGATTGTACTGGAAGTAACAGCAAAAAATGTAAAAAGAAATGAATTTCTTTTACTTTGAAAATCTCTGCAACCGTTTCTTTGCTTCCACATCATCATTCATTGCCAGCAAGACGATAACAATACTCAAATACGTTCGAAATAAATGCGACGGGTATTTCATTCCCATTACTACACTACTTAGTCGCTGCAACATACTATCAGCTTGACTATATCTAATAAAAGCAATATCTTCTTTAGCCATACTCTACGATCGAGAAGATTATTATATTGTAAATTGCAAACCTCTTATTCCTGACCATGACGGCTATTGTCTTTTTAAAAGTGTCGATGGCAAATTGTCCTCGATCTTCCGTTTCATACAAAGCGCATGCGTCAGAATATATTTTAATGGCTTCATCAACATTAATCGGTTCCAGAACTCTGTAGAAAAAGCGAACGATAATTAGTCCTAATTTCAGACAATTGTATAAAAAGAGGGAAGGATGAAAAAAAAAGGAAAGGAAACTCGTGTCAAACCTTCCCCCTTTTTCTAGCATTTCTGCTGCTCGATCTGGGGTCATATGTGCTTGATAAAGATCGCTAGCTTTTCGGTATAAGTCTGCTGCTCGTTCCGGTTGTTTCAATTGTATTGCGGCCAAATTTGCTGCTGATTCCATATCTTTGGCAGCCATGAATACTCTACAAAAATACGTAAACATGTAAGTTATTGCAAGTGGATATAAATAGCAGCATTATTGAATAAATTTAGGATAAGGCGACATACGAGTCTGACTTGAACATCGCATCCGAAGCTTTCAAGTACGCTTGGATCGCTTGTTCATAAGCACATGCTCCCTTGAAACAATTAGCTAAATGTTATACAATATCACTGATATTAGATGCTGCATTCAAAAAGAGCAATCTTTCCAATAATTGAAGCAATGGCCGTACCAGCTCTTTCATAATTTGATCCAGCGACATCCCATTCAGGCTTCTTGAAGAACCCTTTCTGAATCCTTTATTATCGATCGATTACATGCATATACATCATCAGCAAATAGTTACATTGCAATTTGGCTTAAAAATCTAATATCAAACTACATACGCTTTATCGCCATCGGCCAAGAGTCGTATGGCTTCCTGAATCTTATTGTTGTCCATTATATTGTCTAACAATTAGAACGAGTCCTGAACAGTTCATATTTATACTTGAAAGGACAGGGAATAGACAAGTAGGGGCTGTTACACGATGTCGTGTGAAAAAAGACTAATCACGCGAGAATGATTGGATAATAAAGACTTATCAAAGGCAATCCATAGGCGAGAGAAAGATATGATAAACATTTAGAGATAGATCATTTGTTAGGTTAAACGCGAGAATGAATAAGTTTAGGTTTGTTTACAAGATTCGGATTCAGAAGGTGAGTATGCACAGAATATGTCGAACAATTTTTACGTTTAAGGATCTTGGAATCTGAAAATTTTATTTCCTGTTTCTTATTATGGATTGTTGTTAGGCAACCGGATGTCTGCGAAGCCATCTGCAAGAAACAGATGATTTGATTAGTAATAATGGATCGCTTTATTTGGATTTAATGCTTGAGTTGAAATGTGAACAGATCAACGTACTCGCTAATTGGCCAACTTTTTTTTTTGAAAAAACAATATCTATGGTTATTAACCTTCTATCAAGTATGTAATTATTAGCAGATTTGCTTTACTATTACGTAGTTTGTTTTTTTTATCGATTATCGCCAGTTTCTGAAAGGAAGTATTAAATTTGCCTTGTAAAGTTTACAAATTAATAACATGGCATGGTTAATCTAAAATTTAGACTAGCGACAAGCTATTTGACACTTGGCAAACTAGTTCGTTCAGCAAGGGAAGTATACAACTAATATTTTTCTGAGAATGATTTTCGCAATGCAACGCAAAAAGCGTTCATCGAAAATTAGTA